AGGAGAAGGGAGAGAAAGTGCTATTTTGGAAACTATGAGCAGTTCTGGTCTCTTTCAACTGAGCAGGGAAACGTGTGAGAAATTGTGGTTTTCTGGCTGGTGTGTTGTCCGTTTACCGCCGGGAAAGGAAGCCAGCAAGGATGTAGTGTCCTGACTGGAAAAATTGCGTTCGTAAAGCATGAGCTGATTTCATTTTTTCTGTCCTCCAAAGAAGTTGGCTATTTAGCACGTGCATTGCCACTTACAAACGCTTGGGCTATGCACGGTTGTAGGAGGGCGGAGTGAGTAGCAGTCAGGGAGAGGGTGTCTGGCTATGAGATGCTTTGGTTCTGCACATCTTGGCCCTGACAGGTATGCACTGTGAAAGGGAGATGATTGTGGCTTGTTCTTGGGAGATTTGAGTTGGTTTTGTTTGTTTGTTTTGTTTTGTTTTAAGAGACAGAGTCTCACTTTGTCACCCTCGGTTGAATGCCGTGGTGTCACAGCTCACAGCAACCTCCAACTCCTGGGCTAAGACGATTCTCTTGCCTCAGCCTCCTGAGTAGCTGGGACCACAGGCGCCCACCACAGCGCCCGGCTACTCTTTGTTGCAGTTTGGCCAGGGCTGGGTTCGAACCCGCCACTCTCGGTATGTGGGGCTGGCACCCTGCCCACTGAGCCACAGGTGCCGCCTGGGAGACTTGAGTTCTTTGATTGGATTCTTGGGTCACATCTGGCATAACTGGAAGCCTGGTCTGGCCGGTGTTGGGGAACTCTGCAGTGGCCTCTTAGTGTCTCCTTCACAAAGTGTGTAAGAGAGCCGTTTGGACACCAAGGGATATAACCTACTGTCCCCTTGGGGGCTCAGAGAACAGGCAGCCAAGTTAGCCCAATGACTGGGAGGAAGGAACATCCCAGGCAGAGAAAAGACACAGGCATGTGTGTGGAGGCAGGAATCTAAGCGGCCTATCAGGACGCTGGGTGCCTGAGAGCCAGTTCACCAAGGACCTTGTATGCCAGGCTATGGCCCTCAGGCCATTGAAGAGCCAAAAAAAAAAAAAA